TGTGCTTTGCCACAATTCTGTCTCTGAGCTCTTCAGGCAGTTCCTTTGACCTCATGATTCTAATTTGCTCTGACATGCACTGTGAGCTGTAAGGTCTTATATAGACAGGTGTGTGGCTTTCCTAATCAAGTCCAATCAGTATAATCAAACACAGCTGGACTCAAATGAAGGTGTAGAACCATCTCAAGGATGATCAGAAGAAATGGACAGCACCTGAGTTAAATATATGAGTGTCACAGCAAAGGGTCTGAATACTTAGGACCATGTGATATTTCAGTTTTTCTTTTTTAATAAATCTGCAAAAATGTCAACAATTCTGTGTTTTTCTGTCAATATGGGGTGCTGTGTGTACATTAATGAGGAAAAAAATGAACTTAAATGATTTTAGCAAATGGCTGCAATATAGCAAAGAGTGAAAAATTTAAGGGGTCTGAATACTTTCTGTACCTACTGTATATATATATGTTAAATACTCCTTACTTTAATTACTCCTAACTTTAAATTAGCACTACCCCACATTAAGAAATGAAGACCGATACCTATAAATTGCGTGAGGATGTTTTACAAGTGTAAAAGGTGCAATTTGGAGCTAGATGGTGCTTTAGAGAGAGGGATGAGAGTCTCCAAACATTACTAGCATTTATTTACATAGCCTCCTCACAGTGTCTCATAAACACACACAGGTTTATTAATCAAATCTACCATGAAACCCCAGCACTGTGTTGTACAGTTGCTCAGTTCTGCTCAGTGAAACGCTGCATCAGCATCTCGGATTTTAATGTAGCTTTTATTAAAGCAGTACATGAAGCCATCAACTTTTTGAGGCTGTGATGAGCCAGCTGTCTGTATGACGCACAACTCAGCAATAACCCATTGTGTATGAATAAAAGTAATGGCTAATTTTTGTGATGGATTGGGCCGGAGTGCCACCTGCACAGTCTTCCAGGCGGGACAGGAATGGTTGCCTGAACTAAATCCATCATCGAGTAAAACACAGGTGGCCTTTTACTGCTGAGCTGGGATTTGGCAAACATAAAGAATGTAATCAAATACAAATTACACGCTATTATATGTTGCATACTGTAGTGTCAATCAAATCATTACCAAGACAGATTCCCAAGGTGTAACAGTTCCGCAGGCTCTGACTTTATGGCATTTTCCTGATTTCCCCCTCCGTCTCTCAATTTGCATTCATTCCGGTGGCTCTGGAATTTGTCCTCAGGAACATTTCCTCAACCAACCAAACATTCATCTTCACACACAGTCATTTTCCTCCAGCTTACTTTCTCACCCCTACTGTAATGTCCTTTTAAATATTTCAGGTTTTCTATCCACCTTTTAGCCCCTGATCTTTAAATGGTGCAATAATGTCACACCTGAGCTTTAACTCAATAGCCCTCTGGCCTCTCGAAATTAGAATATGAAAAATTTTATTTTATATATAAAGTATATATATTGTTTTATTATTTTGAATTTATCAGACATACTACTGTCGAGGTCAGAAAGATTTGTTTATACAGCAAGGACACATTAATTTGTTTAAAATTGACAGTAAAGACATTTATAATGTTATAAAAGATTTCTATTCAAGAGTTTTTATTATTATTATTATTATTATTATTATATTCTTCATCACAGAATCTGAAAAGTATCACAGTTTCTACAAAAATATTAAGCAGCACAACTGTTTTCAACATTGATAATAATGTTTTTGAGCACTAAATCAGCATATAGGAATGATTTCTGAAGGATCATGTGACACTGAAGAATGGAGTAATGACTACTGAAAATTAAACTTTGCCATCACAGGAATAAATAACATTTTAAAATATATTAAAATTGGAAAACAGTTATTTTAAATTGTAATAATATTTCATAATATTACTGTTTTACTGTGTTTTTGAGCAAGCCTTGGTGAGCTTAAGAGCCTTAAAAAAAACTGTTGTACATATAAGGTTGTTAAAGCCAAGAATTGTGAGGGGGGAAAAGATATCAGGTAAAAATGTACTTTGAGCCTTTGCATTCATATGATTACATCCTGTTAAATTCTAGTATGCATCTGTGGATAGCTTTATAGTTAATTCCACCCATTTGCTTTTTGACAAGCACTCAGTGTCGTACAAAATGGCCTTTCTTGCATCTACAGTGGGTTTTGAAAAGAATCACCCCTTTAAAATAATCACATTTTGTTGCTTTGCAGTCTGAAATGAAGACGAACACAGTTTTTGTTTTATCCAGCTGCATTTAGTCAGAATTTGTGATATTGTTGTCACATGCACACAATGACCACTCTTTGTCATAAATTCCTGCAACTGCTTCAGAGTTACTGTAGGCCTCTTGTTAGCCTCAGTTTCCTCCTGACTCTTTCATCCAGTTTGGAGTGACGTCCTGATCCAGGGAGGGTGTGTGTTGTACCAAATACTACCTTCCACTTCTCTAATCAAATTGAGCACAGCTGATCACAGTTGAAAGTCAAATGGCTTTGTGAGCCATTAGGTGATAAACTATACCTGATTTTACAAGTCATTTTTTAGGAGGAGGGTGATCCTTTTTCCAACTCAGTGATTCTGTTTTTTTTATGTTGGTGTTATATCTTTCACTTGGATGTGTCATAAATTCCTGCAACTGCTTCAGAGTTACTGTAGGCCTCTTGTTAGCCTCAGTTTCCTCCTGACTCTTTCATCCAGTTTGGAGTGACGTCCTGATCCAGGGAGGGTGTGTGTTGTACCAAATACTACCTTCCACTTCTCTAATCAAATTGAGCACAGCTGATCACAGTTGAAAGTCAAATGGCTTTGTGAGCCATTAGGTGATAAACTATACCTGATTTTACAAGTCATTTTTTAGGAGGAGGGTGATCCTTTTTCCAACTCAGTGATTCTGTTTTTTTTATGTTGGTGTTATATCTTTCACTTGGATGCTATAAGTTGCACTGAGTAATTACAGCTGGATAAAACAAAAACTGTGTCCGTCTTCATTTCAGACTGCAAAGCAACAAAATGTGATTATTTTAAAGGGGGGTGATTCTTTTCTATACCCACTGTATCATTCCCCTTTTAATCTTTGTCTCCCAGAAAGTGCACAGAAAAGGTCCAGCACTAGAGTTAATTTGACAAATGTGTACAGATAAATGCTGTCTCCTGATAAATCATGGACAGAACTGCAAAGAATTCAACCTTTCCACTAAAAACGTTTTGGCTGTGTGCCTAAGATATGAATGAAGTGGGACAGTGGACATTAAAAGTCCTACCTGCTCTTTCACAGAGGCCAGAATGGCAGAGGTGGTCTCTGTCTCAGATCCATCATCATTAGAAGCATTCAGTGCTGGACTGAGCATGGTGGCATTCTCTGCTTCGGCAGGCTGTTCTGGGACTGGCATGACTTCTGGAAAGGACAAAACACATTTATTAGCAACTCTTCATCATTAGACTTCAACACAGGATCATCAGGGTTCAGACTTGCTGTGCCCACTGAATGATATTTGAGAGAATGCAAGAAAACATGTGTAATGATCCTAAAACAGAATGAGTCATTCACAAATAAGATTCATCTGGTTCTCGAACTCAACCGATGGCGTAAAAACCTCGCATTTAATGTTTTATTATGTGTTACTCTTTTAACACATTACATGCTTGATAATTACTTAAAGGAATAGTTCACCCAAACTTGAAAATTTGCTGAAATTGTACTTACATTCAGGCTATCCAAGATGTGGATTAATTGGTTACTGCATCTGAACAGATTTGGATAAATTTAGTATTACATAATCTACCCACTAATGGATCCTCTGCAGTGAATTGGTGCCGTCAGAATGAGAGTTCAAACCACTAATAAAAACAACAAAATAATTCACAAGTTATCCACACAACTAAAGTATATTAATTAATGTCATGTTAAGTGAAAAGCTGCTTTGTAATAAACAAATCCACCATTAAGATGTTTTTAACTTCAACCCATTACTTCCAAGTCCTCTATCCGTAATATTGCTTGTTTCGTCTGAATCAGATGTGAAATATGTACAGATCAAGCACCTTTTACAAGCGAAAAGTGTCCACAGTTCTAAACAAATATGTCGGTGGATTGTGATGTGAGAGGACAGCGGGGTGAACCTTTTCACTGAAGGAAGTGTTATAATGAACTCACATTTTGGCCAGAAATTATGGTTTAAAGATAAAATGCCTTAATGATGGATTTGTTTCTTGCAAACACGTAGCTTTTCACTTCATAAGACAAGTAAATTGATGGATTGGTGTTTGGTGTGGATTACTTGTGGATTATTGTGATGTTTTTATCAGCTATTTTGGACCCTCATTCTGACGGCACCCATTCACTGCTCCACTGGTGAGCAAGTGATGTGATGCTGAACTTCTTCTAATCTGTTCTGATGAAGAAACAAACTCAAATACATATTGGGTGGCATGAGAGTGAGTACATTTTTAGCAAAATTTCTATTTGAATTAAAAAATATATAAATTCTGTCATCATTTACTCATCCTCATATTGTTCCAAACCTGTATGACTTTCTATTTTTATTCATAATGCAAAAGAAGATATTTTGAAGAATGTTGGTAACCAAACAGATTTGGTTAATTTTTTCTTTGCTCCTTTTCTCTCCATACAATGAAAGTCAATGAGAACTGAAACTATTAGCAATAATCTTAAAAATATCTTCTTTTATGTCTCTCAGAATAAAAGTCAGTTTTGGAATGACATGAGAGTCAGTAAATGACAGAATTTCAGAATTTTTCTTTTTGGGCAAACTATCCCTTAAAAAGTATAAATATACATTCTTTTGATCATGAGTCAACCAGGTTTGAGGGTTTATGAACATTGAGAGTTTACACCTCACTGACCTCTTTGGATCTAAATAAAACAAGCAATCAACACATTTTAGATTTATAACAGTGAAATCCTCCAAAAAAAAGCAGCTAGTCAGACATTTTCAGTCACGTCTAATGCCTCAGTTATCTCATAAACCCCCACGGCCTATTTACAGTAGCAAATGAGCAAATGTCAGGATGTACAAACACATGATTGATACAACCTATAAAGAATCTGTATTGATTAGAAAGAGATTCCAAATAATAACTGAGCTAGGCATTAGCTGGACTCAGATCAAGATAAATGGTTGTGTAGGACAATCTCTGGAAATTTTGTCACGCTCAGTGGTGGCTGCGGCCGAGCCGGCCAACTTTGTTCCCTTGTTAATAAAGATGACTAGCCTCATCTGACACGACAGCGTGCCTCCGCCTGACGTTCTGGAAATCAGATTATGCCTCCTTAAACCACCATTTCCATATTGTTTACCTTCCTCCACTCTTCCCTTCACACATGCTCACATAATTCACCCCAAAGCCTCTTCAATGCACTCACGGGAATAAATGACTTGTGGAAGTAAGTCAGAAGTTCAGGCATAAGCAACCACTTGACCAATGCAACGTGATGAAATGTCTTGTAGGTGCTACAACACTCAGATCTGCGAGGCAAATGTATAATCCAGGCTTACAATAATGTGCTAACATTGTTAATGTTTCCATTAAGTTGAAATAATAAGTCGACCAAAAAAAAAGTTTTTTTCTTGGTTATTTGAATGTTAGAGAAAACTTTAAGGGAACATTCCATTGTATAACTTAGCAAACATTATGTTAATGTCTGAAACTAGTAAGTAGAAGCTTTTAAAAAACGTTAGACAACCCAAAATAACAACTGAAATGTTTCAGAAAAACATTCCACAAATAAAGTAAAATGTTTTTGTGCTAATGTTTTAAGAACATCATTAAAGACCATATAACTTTGAATGAACAAAAAGTTAAAGTTAACTAGAAGAATGTTTGTTCGTAACTTTGAAAGAACCTTTCCAGAATGTTCTTTCCAAAGTTTTGAGAATGTTCTCTGTTAGCTGGGACAAGACTGTAGTTAGGCCAGATGCCATAGTGAACTGTATGCAAATCAAAACATAGACTTATAATATTTACAATGGCACATACTGTATAAAGTAACTAGATCACATCAATTACAAAACTCAAAAAACAAAAAAGTTTTGTTAGCTGAACTATTGGCATGTTGTTAAACTGCAGTACACATCCATTGAACACACTGTACTTCAATCACTCACAGCCTCATTTTTATTCCGGTCAAAAAATTAAAATTAAATATTGTGCTACCCTGACTAAGGTCTATGGTGAAGGAATATCTGCAACAACTTTTGTGCTGATTGGAAGACCAAACTGACTGGCGCTTCACTTCCTGCCAGCTCTCTTCAGGAAGATTGGCTTAGTCTGCAGAATGAATTGCCTTAGTCTTCATCCACAAGTATTAAAGTCAAACGTTCCCTGATGGAAGCCTGGGTAAAAAAGATAAATAAGCAACTAAATGTCACCAGAGGGATGTTCTGTACCAGAAAAGGTTATAAGCAACAAAATATCTGTATTTAAAGTCTAATTCTCCCATTAACTATAATTCTGGTATCATTTACTCACCGTCATACCACTCTACATCTACAAATACAAATCAAAGTTCCCATTTTAATGAAGAAATTTTATGTCTTTCGGTCTAATGACCGTACATCTACTTTGGCACCTGTTTTTATACAGTCTATGTTTGGCACATGGGAGAGGGGGTGGGTCTTCAAATAGAGCCGAAAGTTGATTGGTGGTCTCTACAAGTGAACTGTCCAGTGTTATTTTTATTAATAACTTGATTGAAAAATGGATAATGAAAAGCAACTGGCAAATGTTTTTTCCCCCTCCTATTTTTATTTTATTGTTATACTTATCTTCATTTTAAAACATTATTTATTTTTCAATTAAAAATAATTTATAATTATATTATTTTAACACAAGACATATTAAATTCAAGAAACAGTCCATTTCAAAAGTGATTTATGTCTTTATGATATACAGTATGATTTAAATATGATATGATAATGGGTTGCCATAATAATGACAATGAATGAGACTATCAAGCTCCAAAAAAGTTATATAAAATGATCATAAAAGTCTTCTAAACTTGTATGACAGCTTTGTGTGAGGAACAGTCCTTGACATCCACCTCTCTTGAGAGAACCTTTTGAGAGAACCACTGTAGAAACATCTGATTCAAGAACGAATCAATCTTTTGCAGTGCATCATTTGATCCCATTTCTAAAATCAAAATGATTTGTAAGAGAATCAGACTGATCTGGTTCTTGAATTTAACTCGATGCATTTGATCGGTTTCAATCATTACAAATGAATGAAGTTGAGGATTTTGCTATTATTAAGCCATCATATGACTTTGAATATTGCACACAAATTATATGAACTACTTTTAAGATATTTTATGGTAATTTTGAGTCTTTTTAGAAGCCTAAAAGCTCCAGCCTCCATTCACTGTATTTTTATGTAAAACAGTGATTCAATATTTCTCCTTTTGTGTCAGCAAAACAAATTTATAAGGGTTTGGGATGAAATTAGGCTGAGCAAATGATTCATTTCTAAATTAACTATTGCTTTAGCACAAGTACTGTATACTTTTGAGCTGAAGTTTCTCCTACTGCCTGATGTCTAGCTGTTTTTGACACCACCTTCTCCATCTTGGCTCAGCAGATTTTTTTTCATGCAAACAAATGTGTGCTGCTGGGTAATGTGTTGTCGCATTTTTCAATGATACAGCTCATTTCATTCACTGTGGTTTGCCCTGGTAAAGGTAATGCTACCATCTTCTAAACCCTGGGTACAATATGAGATAATGGTGCAGTTAAATATCTCTGAGGGCCTCTGAAGTGGATTGCCCTGTGTCGACCTTATTCTACAAACAGTTCTCTCTTCTCGTACATTAAGCACTAAAATGTACTTTATCCAATTAGACCTCACTCTAAAAGGTCATTTCTGAGTGTAAACACAAGGATAAAAGATACAAATGATCTATTGAAACACTTACAGGCCTGGTGTGGCTTCTTTAAAGCGATCTGATATAATAATAATCATTCATTTAGCTACACAAATAGGCACACAGTTTTTGTAGGTATACTTAAAATATAAATGTTATGTTAAAATATTTTCTCTTATCTCATTTGAATGTGCAGAGATAACTAGCGCTAGGTTAGGCTGATCATTACCATACCTGCATAGACTAAATGCTTGCTTTGTGTGTCTAAAATGTCTAAAAGTCTATCTGTGTGATAGTTTATCACACTTAATTAATTGATCATAAGTATGAAGGATTTTTATCAGCTGCCATTGTGTTATTTTAGCATGTTTACAACATTTTGGATTAGTTAATTAATTAAAATGAAAACGAATATATATATATTAATTTTGGTTAAGGTTTTAATATTTTTGTTTTTTATACATTATTTTAAATAATAATTTGTTTTTTTAAATATTCAAGACTAATGTTACAAA